TTCAATTTGGATAAACCCTGAGTTTAGAAATTATCAGTAACTCAACTGGGGAACATTTTAACCTCCGTCTTTGACTCTTTCTCCTCCATCACAGCAGCTTTGTTTAGACCATTAGTGGCTCTTCCTGTTTTATTTGTATTTTTTCTCAGATATGAGATGTATTTATTACTCTGATTTTTAATATATAACTTGCTCTCAATATTACATAATTTTCACCCCAATCACTTTTCCTCTACCAGGCTCGCATGTCTCCTGGAAGTCCTGTGGGTCCTCTCTGAGGCCAGAGATTAGAGGGCTCCCTCTCTGCTCCAGGGAACTGAGACTGGCCTCAGTCTGGCCGCAGCAGAGTTCTCTCACTCGAGCAGAAGCTCTTAGGTGTGGTGAGAGAGCAGAGCGCCTTCTGGGTGGAGAGACTAAGCTTCACCTAGCAGCACCTGCCCTGGTGGATCTGGGGGAAGGTGCTGTGGGTAAGGCCAGTTCCTGCAGCCGTGCCCACCTACAGCCAGAGTCTTGCCCACCACAGGTAGGGCAGTGAGAGAATGCCAGAGAGGGAAGAATAAAGGACTGCACTGTGGCTAATGGCCATGCCTCTGAGGTGCAGCTAAGATGCTCTGAGTCCAAGCGCCTACACCCCACAGAGGGGCGCCCATGGAGTAAGGACAGAAATCCTTGGTTGCATTACATCTTCCATGCTGCAAGGGAGGGGCTGAAGATGAGGATGTCCTAGCATATGCATGTGTGTGTGTGCACGTGTGTGCACATATGTGTATGTGTGTAGCTGGTAGGGAGTGTGGATAGGGGAGTGATAAAGAAAATAGGCTTTGAAGTAACAAAGACATAAATTTCTGGTTCTGTCATAGCATTGTGTGACTTTTGGCAAATATTTCACTTCTTTGAACCCCAGTGTCTTGTCTTTATCTTTAAAATAGTAACATTATTCACCTCCAAGGAGTTATTGTGAGAATTAAATAAGATGATCAACACTGAATGAGAGCCGGAAGCTATAACAATAAATATGGTGAGTGGGGCCAGGGAACTGTTCAGGGTGAGAGAGGGTCTGCCAGGTAATAAAACACTAACCGAGTGTCCCAGGCATCCCTTTCTTCATGAGCTCTGCAGGCTGTTTTGAGCTTTCTCACCTGGAAGCTAGTTGACCTCAAAGATGGATAGGGCATTGCAAAATGAAACCTGAAAATCTAGCCTAACATGACCTATCCCATAGAAAGCTCAAAACAACAGTGTTTGCCTTCTTTCTTGTGTACTGTAATGTGAAATATCCATCTTCATCATGTAGCAGCAAAAGCAATGTATCATGGTATAATAAAACATCTGCCATGGTACTAACAAAAAACCCTTGAAGATGAATACTTCCCAGACCCTGAATGCCATATTCCATCACAAGAAGGAATCATTAATCACTGACTATTTTGCCTGTTTGACTTACTGATAGTTTTGTGTATCCAAATTTTAAATACCATTTTTTGGCTGTCAGCCAGACCCTCATCTTTCCAAAATTTACTGCTGAGAGAATACCTGAGATATATATCGGCTATCGCTCAGTCCAGACAACTCCTCAGTACAAAACAATTTCCTTTTTCTCAGCCAGACAGCACCATAGTTCAAGTGCGTACTTCTCTCCTTTTAATTCCAGCCATCTTCACCCCCTTGCTCTTTTTGCCACACCACAGGATTGTTCTTGCCTTAGAAACTGCTCTTCTTTGAGACGTCCACACGGCCAACTCCTCCGCTGGCCTTTACTCAAGTGTCAGCCTCTCAGGGAGGCCTACCTTTGTCAGACTGTCTAACGATGTGCGTCCTTTCCTTCTGCTAGAACAGAAGCTCCCTGAGAGCAGGGATCTTTGTCTGTTTTGTTCACCGATGACTCTCCAAGTGCCTAGCATAGTGCCTGGCACACAGCAGATACTCAATACATACTCGGTATGTGGGTAAATGGTAATAACCAATTTTAGAAGACTGAGGAATCTTAGGGATGGAAGAGACCTTATAAATTATTCGATTCAGTGGTAAGAAACATTTTTCTAAGGAGCATCAATTGAAGAAATATGGAAATTAGTTTATGGGCAGAATTTGTTTTCCACTTAATATTAAATCCTGTGGGTAAATAATGTACGTTCTTAAATCTTAACCACTTTACTTTACCACATAAAAGAATATTTATGAGAAACTGTGGGCAGAGTTGAGAAATAGAAGGCATCTTTCTAATCCACAGCCTGGAAATGACACCTGGGTCTTACCTTGAGCACAGACAGCCCTCGGGACTCAGGCTGCTCATCGCCACCACTGAAAGCCCCACTCCGCTTTTCGGGGGAGGCAGAGATCGCCTAGAGAAGAGAGGGCCTTTCCTTTTCTCAGGTCACATAGCTGACTAGGGGCAGGTTCAAGGGTAGACCGTGGTGCCTGGCCTTCATGCAGCGCTCCTTTCACGGGCAGAAGGAAAAGATGAAAGGCGGGGCGGCGGGGCGGGCGGGGGCAGGGGGAAGCTTGGGTGCTTTCTTCTCAGTTAAGCTGAAATGAGCATTGGATGCACTGTTATAAAAATCAGTGAATGTCTGCTTATTGTGAATAAACATGTGGAATCAGAATTATCCATTGCCTTTAATATAATGTCACCGTAATTGTCAGAGAAGTGATTGCAAGCATTCTGCCTCCCCCTGCCCCAGGGATTATTAATATGACTCAGCATTTAACAAGCACTAGTCATGAGTGGGTGTTGCTCCAGCTGCCTGAGACTGAGAAGGGCCCTCAGTCTGCCTACTTTTTAATGTGCTTATCTCTAGCCAAACCTTGTTCAAAGGCCAGGCATTACTTCTTTTGTTGCTGGATTTTAGTTTTTTTTGGTTGTTGTAATTTGTTTTTTAGTATTACCTATAAGTATACCTAGATAGATCTATAAGGCAGAACCTAAGAGAGTATGTAACACTGTATATTCAGGCAGTTTAATGAATCAATGAACTTTACTTGTGTAAGTGCTGTTTGCATATCAAATAATTTGTTGTCACTCAGTGAATACTATGACTAGGAGGATGAAGTTATTTTAAATGTGATTGTTTTTATGTTTATTTTATTGGATTCAACAAGTCAATTCAAAAGACCTGCACTGATGTTTGAAATGTCCAGATGTCATTTTGCTTTTCCAGTTAATCAGCTCCCCAGAAGTCTACTATTCTAAGAGCCCTAAACATGCATTTGTCCCACCGTGGCTCCCCATGAAGTCTGTCAACTACAGCTCCTCAGGAACTGTGGACCACAGTGTGCCCTGCAGGCTGCTGCAGGGGTGTCAAAAACGTGAGGCCGCAGCGTCCCTGCCGTTAGGGAGCTTGCAGCCTATTCTGGGAGATTAGAGAAAAGAAAACTGACCATCTCAGATGGTACACAGGAAGCCCTAGGTATATGACTTAGGCAGCAAGAGAAGAGATGTTGGGTGGATCAAGGTAGAAATAAATGTTGGAGCCAGATAATCTTCATCATGCCCTTTCTTTGAATTATAGACTATTTCTCCCCCTTTCTCTTAAGTGTAGTTTCTTACTTAAGTTTTATCTTAAGTGTGGTATCCAAGAAATGGCAAAAAATGTCTTTGGGTTTAAGTCTGTTACCATCTTTCAAGAATCTGTTCTCTCATCTCTTGGGATGTAGGTGACCAGCCTGCACTAGGGAAAGCCACTTAATTTATATTGGAATTTGATAGATCAGAAGAATGATTTCTATTTTCTATTGGTTATGTGAAAAGTCAGGTGGAAACAGGTCTCCCTTTCTCCTTGGATGGCAAGGTTAGCTAATATATCCCATAATGATAATTATTTTTGCTCCTACCACATTCATTTTCCTTAACTCAAAAAAATCTTATATATCCAAATGTCATATATTTAAACAGTGAAACAATTATTTTTCCTTGTTTGCTTTTATTTTCTCTAAATTATAGTCCCATGGCACATAAACAAATACAAGTTATGGGTAGCATGAAAAGGGGAGCCAAAATACTGTGGTCAAACTCTTTAGAATGTATTATATATTGAACTGGTTAAGGACAGGGAAATTCTTAATTGTGAACATACTGTAATGAAAATCAGTGAATTTGAAAATTGTATCATCTTTATTGTTAAAGGTACTTGTAAAATGAAAATTGAGTATGTAGGTTTTTCTCTTCACATTGACTCATTTCATTTGTTTGGTCATTTTCATCTGCTGTCATGTTGTATATTTTAGAATCAGAATTATCTGAAAGCTGCAGTGAGTCCTAGAGATCTTCTAGTGTAACCTCTTCATTTGGCAAGTGAAAGAGCCAAAGCCCAGACACATTATGGGACTGACTGAGGTCACACAGAAAACTGTGGAAAGCCTGGTATTGAATCCCAAGGCCCTGAAAACATTGATTGGTGAACAGGACTAAATCTCCCTCTGGCAAGTGGAATAGAAAACAATTCAAAATTAATATGCATTGCCTCTGCGACCTCACCTTTTCCAACTGGAATTCTAGGCTCTTTTGGATATTGCACATGTATCTGTAAAGTTGTATTTCCAGGGGCCAGAGGAGCCCCTCTTCTATAGACCTTCCCTGGATGAGCTCTGGGCATGGCACCATAAACAGCACAATCACAATTTTCTGATGATTAATATAGTTAAAATTTTCCTGATTTTTTATCATGAAAAGTTAACGGACTTATTTGGTTTTTTGAAAGTCATGGTTAACTATATCAGACCCTGTTATATGTCATTCATTGCCTATGTTCTATTATTTTATTCATAAATAGGTGGGAACCTATGGAGATTATTAAAGAGGAGATGGTAAAATCATCTCGCTCTGTCAATCAGAGAGGAATGGGACAGAGAGGCCTCCCTTTCCTTGATGGTTTAATGCAGTCTCTTTCAAAAGCGGAGGACTAGTTTGGATGAACTCATAGATCTCATTCAGCCCCTTTAATCTCTAACTGAATCATTAAATACAGTAAATAGTTCAAACTAGTTGTAATTTACAGACTTACTTGTCAACATATTCAACTAGATCTGTAGAATTCTTGGTTGACATTTTGGCTGGAGATAATCTTACCTAAAACAAAGGTCATGGGTTTAAAATACATCATCAGGTACTTTACAGGGAAATCCTATCTACTTTAGCCGTACATAAATTTTTAATTTTCTTTAGTATTATGTTTTTTTATTGTGATAAAATACATGTAAAAAATTTACCATTTTAACTATTTAAGTATGCCATTTTCTGGTATCTAGTACCTTTGCAATGTTGCACAGCTATCACCAGTGTCTACTTCAAGAAAATCCTCCCCACACTGAGGGTCAACTCCACGCCCATTGAGCAATCACTCCTGACTCACCCTTTGATCCAGGCCCTGGCAACCACGAATCTGCTTTCTGTCTCTGTGGATTTGCCTACTGTGGATATTTCATATACATGGAAACATACAATAATATGTGGCTTTTTTTGTGAATGGCTTGTTTCTTTGTTTTATTATTGACACTGTTACAGATGTCCCCCGTTTCTCCCCCTTAGCCCCCTCCGCCCAGCCCCTGCTCCACCCACCCCACCAGGCTTTCACCACATCAACAAAATATAAACAATGGGTCGTAGACCGCCAGCCCAGTTAATCTTGCACGGGCTCTTTTGTATCCCTAGAGACTAGAACCAAAATCGAGTCCTGGGGAGATACTAGAGAGCTACATTTCACAGATTTAGTGTCAGAGTCAGGAAGAGCTTTTTGGAAGGTCAAAGCCATAGATTATTCTTAGATAATTTTTAAATGAACTCTCCAATGATTACTGGCTGAATGTCTAAAGAAGTCCTCAGAGAGTAAATTATTCCTGACATACCGAATTTTGAGGGAAATCAACTAATTTTCAAAAATAAAACAAAAATCTAGAAAACAAATCTATTCAGGTAACTGTTTTCTAATAAAGCTGGATGTCAGATTATTATAGTCCATGAGAAATAAAAGTCAGAACACAGTTATACACTTGCACTAAACATAGCTGGACTTATGAACACTAAACTAATTTAATAAAATTGTACCATTAGAAAGTTCTATTTGCATGAAAGTTCATAATTTTGCAGCAATTCTAGGGGGAAAAAAGGATCAATATGTACTCCCTGTTTTTGCATACGCTGAAACTGTTTTCAACTTTAATATTCTTTTAATTTTAAGTTTAAAAACAGGACATATTTTTATCTTCATTTTAATTCCTATCACTGACTTGGATTCAATAGGGAGAGAAGAGTGGAATTCTACTTCATTTTAAAGCTTAAAATATGTTCCTAGGATATTTTGTCTTGGTTTATGTTATCGTGTACTATAATGGTGAGCGGAAAGTGTTAAGACCCACATACAGAAATCATTCCTTTGGCAAGTGCCTAAGAAACTACCACTTCTTAATTTAAGGCTGCTTTTTGGTGGACAACCAGAATAGGCTCAAGCTGCCACAAATGGTGCTTTAGATGCTCTCTTCCCACTGCTGAGGACTGGGATCTGCAGTGGGTCTGGCACTCTGAAAGCTGGTCTTCCCCTAAAGAAGGAAAAAAATGAGCCACTGGGTACCCAGGTCCATGTTATGAGAACCATCCTAACTCCCTAGAGACTGTGACGGGCCTGCTCTGGTCTATTCTGGTTCATGTTTTCACTCCAGTTTTTTGCTGGAACAATCTGGGCCCTGGACACCTCACCTACTAATGCCGGCTAGTTCCTCCTCACCTCTCCCCTGCCACCCCTGGCCTGAGCGGGTCTGTTTGTGGTATTTCCCCAGCAACTGGCTGGTCCCCGTCTTTTTCTGTTTGGCACTTAGTAGCCCTTTGTAAGTATTTGTGGAAGGAAAGAGTAATGATAAATATTTTGTACAAGGACACTAAATTACTGGGTTATTGTCTCCTTTTTTCCTTTCCAAGTGAAACAATCAGCTATGTGTTCTATTTTTATTTTATTAATTTTTAAGTCTTATTTGGAAAACCATTAGTAACATCCTCTTAACATACCTAAAACTCACATACTTCTAGAGTAACAAATGTTAAACCTGATAAAGGAGGAAAATTGAAAACATATGGAAAAATAAAAGCTATAGAAAAAAGTTTTCTCACTTATAATTCTACTACTTGGGGAGGTAATTTTCAATGGGTGTGCCGTGGCTCCCACGCCGGTGCACCACATGGATTTTTAAAATGGGCAACACCTGACTACTCAGTCAGGGGCGCCGACCTCTTTCCCCTTACGTTGTCAAAGAAGAAAATGACAGCAGCCAATACAACAGCCACCTGGTGTGAATGAATCAAAATCATATTTATTTTTATGTCAGATTGGCAAAAAATGTGTTATTTTGGTGTGCTGCAGAATTTTAGTAATTAGTGTACGTGTACCATGAGATGAAAAGGGTCGAAAGTTGTTGACCTAAAGTTATGAACATTGTGGCACATTTATTTCCTCTATTTTATATGCAATTTTAAAATGTACCTAAGACAGTAAATTGTATATCTTTGCTATTTGCATGTAGGAGTCAGCTCTGTTTCATCCCTATTCCTACAAGCTAAAATGTAGTTACATAAAAATTCTCACAAAGAACTTGGTGCTTATTATGGGAACTTTTATATACATCGGTTTTCACCTGTTACATAACAGTACTTTAAAACACTGTGGTCCTTTATGGTTTTGCCTATAAAATACTTTCACATACATCATGTGATTTTATTCTTCCAACAGTTCTGTAAAGTAGGAATCATTATCTTTACCAAAAGAATAACGTTAGTTATCTTAAGCAACTGAAATTTTTCTTAATTATAGAAAGAATTTAAGATGATTATTTCTACAGGTGAGGAATCTGAGGAGTAGAGAAATAATGGACTTGTTCACGATCATATAGATAATGATAATAATTATATTATAGCCATTGATGGAGTCCTTTCTACCTGCTAAGCTCTTTAATTTAAAAAAAATTTTTTTATTTATTTATAGAGCAAGGGGGAGGGAGAGAGAAAGAGAGGGAGGAAAACATTGATGTGTGAGAGAACCATGGATCAGTTGTTTCACACACCCCCTCCCAGGACCTGGCCTACATCCCAGACATGTGCCCTGACTGGGTATTGAACCAGCCACCTTTAGGTTTGCAATCCACTGAGCTACACAAGCCAGGGCAAAGCTCTTTACTTTAATGACTCATTTTGAGAAGGATGAAGGAATTAAGCAAAGGAAAAAAAAAAAGGACAGACTCATGGACACAGACAACAGTATGGTGATCACCAGAGGGAAGTAGGGGTGGGGATGGGGTGGAAGAGGGGAAAGTGGGGTAAATGGTGATGGAAGGAGCCTTAACTTGGGGTGTGAATACACAACACAATATACAGATGATGTGTTGTAGGATTTTATATCTGAAACCTATATAATTTTATTAACCAAAGTCACCCCAATGAAGTCAATACAAAAATAAAATTAAAAAACCTATTTCTTTGAATGATAGGCTTAATTAGCCCATTTCACAGAAACAGAGAGGTTAAATAATTGCTGAGTCACACAGCTAGTATGTGGTACAGCCAATAGCTACAAATATCAGTGCTTGATACTGTGCCAGCTTTCCGGTGCTCTTTCTTTCCATCACAAGCAGCTGCACCTACCGGTCAGGTGTTAGGAGAATTACAAAGCAAAGTCTAAAAGCACTTCTCTGGATTTTCTTTTACATTTTTTGGAAAGATATGACATGTACCAATTAAAAAAAACATTCCATTTAGCTATTCTCTTGTTCATGTTAGAGATAACATCTATACCTTAAATTTATCATAGTTTCTCTTGAATACAAAATAAGTGATGGCTTTTTGTTAATTTTTAGCCATACATATTAAAAGTCAGCCCAATGAATGTACTCGCAGACTGAGCCCCTTTTTCTGTTCAGCTTGTGCTGTCATTAGTTCCTTTGCCAAAGCAGGAAAAAAAAAAACAACCCAGGAAATGCAGGTTTTTCACTCTTGAAAGCAAAAACAACTTTTCCAGGATTCCTTGGAACTCTCTAAGCAAGGCTGAGCTTTAAAGAAGCTGAACAAAATATCCTATGTTTAATAAGAATATCTAAAAGTACTCACTTTGTTTTCTTGGTCACTGGCTGAGCCAGGAAGGAGGTCATCATGTTCATCTGGCTGCTCCTCTGCAGCCGGGGAGGAACTTTTGTTTACATTTGTATCTAGGCAACCAGAATGCTGAATCAGACCAGGAACCATGGCACGTGAATAATAATTGCAGTGGTAATTTCTTAAATGAAGGCAGTTTCTGTACTTATGGCAATAATTATCAAGAGAGCCTTCTAGTTTGTTTTACGCCCGCCCTTCCCTACTTGCCTACCCTAATTCCCTCCCTCCCTTAAGACTGCCAATCACACCTGTAGTCAGCTAGAAGAGCTTATCATCTCAGGTACTTTCATTATACATTCAGAAAACTTTGTTGAAATGCTCTCATTTAGATCGAACTGTTTTAAAATAATAGGGAATGTTTTCTCACCCAGTTGTGGCCAAGCCATCCAACAATCTTTGGGATGTGTTACCTTGTTTATATGTAATATGAAAGATAAGTCAGATAGTAAAGTATGAGGAATTTAGAGACCTAGAATAATCCACGAGAGAAATACCTGAACTCATGACGCTTGAGTCCCTGGCTTCGTTTTTTGTTGACTTGATTTTTTAAAGGGGAACAAATTTTTAAAAAATTTTCTTTCTTAGAAAGCCAAAGCACTAAAGAATGTTGACTGAACCCTGATTGAAGTCTTGATATCCCTGCGGTCTCCTCTGGGCGGCTCAGCAGCATTGTGACTGCAGGAGGGATCTGTGATGTCGATGTGGCTGGCTCCCACTCTTAACGTGGCTGTCATTAAGCTACTGAAATTCAGGAGCTTGAAAGATCTCGCTTAATGCTCATTGTCATAAAAATCACTAGGTCCTTCACCTCTTTGTTTTAATTGGGTGGAATGTGGCTATTTTCAAACTGGTATTTCATACCCTTCCTCTAACTTTGCCTTCATAGTTTGGTGAGAGACTGGCTCCCATAAAAGTAGACACAAAAAATTGGTAGTTACAAAACAGTCACAAATGTAAAGTTCAGCATAAGGAATGTAGTCAATAATATTGTAATAAGTAGGTATGATTCCCAGTGGGTACTTGAATTATGGGGTGGAAATCCCTTTGTAAACACTTTGTAAATTGTATAATTGTCTAACCACTATGTACACCTGAAACTAATATAAAATAATATTGAATGTCAACTGTAACTGAAAAATAAAGTTAAAAAAATGAGCAAAAGGGGCTAAATTTTAAAAAGTAGACAAAGATGAATTCCTGCAGTACTCCCAGATCTTCCTCCAGTGGGCTAGTTAAGGAAGCCAACATGTCCAGGCCACTAGGGGGAGCTTTTAAAAGAATGAAGCAACGACAGGTGAGGTGGGACAGGGCTTTAAATTAATTAAAATATTGAACTTTGGCATTGTGGGAAAATTTTATCTCGTTATTTGACAAACAAAAAGATAAAGATGTGAAATACTTCAGCTCTGAAATATTTTTCTATAAAAATATTTTGAGTATTTTAAAAACTGGAATTTGCATCTTTTGCTAATACTACTTTGCCCTCATATACAGAAATGATATTATTGCCTGAGTTACTCTTCAGATTATGTTGCTCTGTTTGCCTTGCTCTGAGGGCACATGATGTTCAGGATGCTGAATGACAAACTTGTATTCCACAGATAAATACTACCCACAAGTTTTGGCCTCAATGGTATGTCTTCCAGTGCTAAGCTAAGCCCTTAAAACTTAGAGATAGAGTATTTAATGGTTATCTAAGCAGTCCAAAAGGCTCATTACATCATCTTAGTCATTTTATCAAGTGTCAAGAGAGACTAATACACCAGTGACAGAGGACAGGTGGCTGTGGATACCAAGAGAGTGGGCGAGAGCCTTGACTGCTTAACCTACTGGTGTTTACTTCAGGCAAGATTACCTCTTCAATTCTCAGTTTTCTCATTTGTAAGGTGAGAAATAATGCAATAATGAGGACCTCATAAGGTGGTTGATAAATTAAATGCAATAATACACTCGAAGTTCTCAGCTGAGTACCAGGCAAGGAATCCATTAAGCTGTATCTATCATTAGTGATTTTACAAGGTGCAATTATCCAAGAAACAGACAGGAAGTGTGTGAGAAAGGGGAACTGGATTTGACCTTGCTAAACAACTTTTTGAGATTCTTTCCTTAAATTCAGCTTTTATATGATGTGTCCAGAAAAATAGGTCCAAATGAAATGAGTCCAACTTGTTCGTTCTCTAAATGGCTGCTTAGGACAGCACACATAATATATGTACCATTGAAATCCCTCCTGTCTGAAGGTATATATAAAATCCTTCCTGGAAATCAATGATCTTCAGAGATTGCTTCTAGTCCAGGTTTACCAAGAGTACATAGCCTAAAGCACAAAAACCAATAATCCTCACTTTCGATCTTAAAAACCATTGTATTTTGGTATTGTTTTCTATATAAGCATAAAGGATTCATCTTTAGGTGGTGTTCAGTGAAGTGGGGGGTTGGTTAGTGTTGAGGGTCAACCAATACAAAATTGTTCTGTGGTGTTGTGCACTACCCAACCCTAGGGGGGGCCATTCACACAATAACACTGTAGGTTTTCATATTTGTTACCAATTTTTCTGGCATATCTCAAAAAAAATACCTTGTTCTAAGAGAGTAGATATATCAGGACAGTTTTCTGACAAGTAGAAGTAAAGGGTCTTGAGGAAGGGACGCCCATTTCTGAGAGTGTATATGGGCCACCGGCAGCAGCCCCCATCGTGGGTGTCTGCTGAGCACTGTGTCCTCAGCTGAACTAGCCGCAGCCAGCCCTGGGCCACAGCAGCCAGGGGTTCCTGGCAGAGTGTATCCTCCTCAACTTTCTTTTTTGCCTCTTTCCTTTTTATGTCCCCTCCCACCTGCTGTTCCAAATGGCCTTGGGCCATCCCTTCTGGAAAGATCTCATTTAAACCAGGGGACTCCATAGGGTCTCACACCTTTTCTTGTATTCTAATTGGACCTGCTCTAGTCTCCAAGTAAGCTTGATGTGTTCGGCGCTTGACATTTTAGGAGCTATCCCTCATATTCCACCTCACGATTTTCCTGAGGAAGGCAGTGCAGATGTGAATATCTTGAATTTACAGATAAAAATACAAGGAAGTTCAGAAAATTAAGTGACTCACACAAGTAAATGGTGAAAATTTGACCAGACCCTGAATATTCCAATCCTCTCTTGTGCACCTTTCCTCCTGGGATGAATCATACTGAATGCTGCTAAGGTATGAGTGTTTGACTTCCATTCTAAAGGGTGCTCTATGCTGAGTGGGTCCCTGGCAATTGCATTTTGTTTCCTTGGTTCATTACTCTCCTAATTGCCTTAGATGACTGTCACCTTTTCCTCTGACCTCATACTGCCATCAGCTCCTCTGTTATCATCACTCTCAGCTGATGACCTTTCCTTTCTATTTCACCAAGGAAATAGAAGTAATCATAGGGGATGTTTATAAGCCCACCCACTACACCTACAGACCTACATGAATTTGTGTCCATAAATTCTGTCTCTTCTGTTTCAACAGATGAACCATCTTTGCTCCTCATTTAGGTGCCTCCCAGCCGTCCTTAGGCCCCACTCCCGCTTACCTAAACAAGGACCTCATTCCCTCTTTACTAGATTATTCCCATCAATATATAAGCAAACATTTTTTTCCATTCCACTCCCCTTAAAACAAATGAACAACCTTCTTTTGATCCTATATACCTTTCAGCTACCACTGACTCTTCCTTTTCTGCACGGGAAAGCTCCCTAAGAGTGTTTATATTTTTCTCTTCCCAGTTTCTCTATTTGCTATAGTCTAAATTGTGTCCCTCCTCAAATTTGTATGTTGAATCCCTAACCCTGAATGTGACTGTATTGGGAGATAGGATCTTTAGGAGGTAATTATGGTAAGGTGAGGTCTTAAGAGTGGGGTCCTAATCTTATAGGATTGAGGATTGGTATCCAACAAGAAGAAAATGCAACCTCAGTCTCTCTCTCTCTCTCTCTCTCTGTGTCTCTCTCTCTCTCTCTCTCTCTCTCTCTCTCTCTCTCTCTCTCTCACACACACACACACACACAAGGCTGAGGACACAGTAAGATGACAGTTGTCTGTAAGCCAGAAAGAGGGTTCTCACCAGGAACTGAATCTGTTGCCACCTTGACATTGGACTTCCCAGCCTCCAGAATTGTGAGAAATGAGTTTCTGTTGTTTAAGCGATATGGTCTATGGTATTTTGTTATAGCAGCCTGAGTAGATGAACACAATCGCAAATTACTAAAATCAAGCTTTCTGTCCCTCACTCCTTCCACTAAAACTGCTCTTGGCAAGGTCCCCTGTGACCTCTCTGTTGCTAAATCCAGTAGTCACTTCTCAGTCCATATCTTAGTGTCCCATTAGCAGCATTTGACAGAGTTGGGAGCTGTCTTGAAACTCACTCCTTACTTGGCTCACAGGGCACCGTGTCTCCCACAGCTCTGCTATTCCCTGTCAATGGATTCCTCATTCATCTTCCTGACCCCTGAGCGGGTGATCAATCATCTTCATCAGCCTGAAGATTTCTCAGAAGACCTGTGTTCTGGGAACCCTCAACCCTGGGTAAACCAAAATAGCTAGTCACTCTACCTGTGTGCCAGAGCTCAGTTCTTGGACTTCTACACGCACTACCTTGATAATCTCATCCACTCTATTGGCTATAAGCTGACAGCTCCACAAACTCCTTACTCCCTACCCCCAAAGCTGTTTGCCCCACAGCCATTCCCATTGCAGTAAATGGCAACAGCCTCTTTCCAGTTTCTTGGGCCCCAAAATACAGAATTCTTTTTCACCCTCTTGTTCCCTTACACCCTATCTGTTTGCCAAACCTTCAAGCTATATCCAGGGCGGGGCATCTCTCACTGTCTTCTCTGCCACACTGGCCCAAACTACCGTCATGTCTCCCTGGGGTTACTGCAATAGCCTTCAAAACACTAGCCTCTTTTCTGTTCAGCTTTTCTCCCCATCAATTATTCTCAACAGTGACCCTGTCAAAGTTAATAGTGACCATAAAACTTGTCAGCTCAAAATCCTTCAATAGTTTCTGTCTTGTAAAGGATAAAATTTTACTAAAATCTGCAAAAGCTTTCTGAGGTCTCAGCCATGCAGTCTGCTCACAGCCACCCTGCCTCATCTCCTAGGCCTCTCCCTTGCTTACTCTCTTCCAGACCCAAAGGCCACCTTGGTCCTCCCGGAACATGCTGGTAGGCACGTGCCTCGGGGCCTTTAGTCTTGCCGTTGCCTCTGCTTACACGCACTTTCCCTGGATGTTCCCCCTGTTCACTTCCTTGCTTCCTTCTTGTCTTTACTTAAACATCGGTTCTCAAAGAGGCCTGGCATGCCTATCTCAAATTACAGTTTCCTTTTATATACACATATTTCCTACTGTACTGCCCCCTTAGCATTTATCTGTATAGTATGCATTTACTTTTCTTACTAAATGTTTCCCCTGCTAGACTCTAAGTTCCATAGGGTAGACATTTTTGTCTCTGTTGTTCACTGCTCTGCCCCAATGCCTAGAACAGTGTCTGGCACATGGTAAGTATTTGTTAA